CGGGCTAACGCTGACATCGGGACGTCAGTTACCTCAGCCCCCCGTGACTATGGGTGTTGAAAAGTGCCCAAAACCTCGGGAATTAAAAATAAAATAAACGCGATAAAATCCGCGAAGTTAGTTTTAGTCAATGTGTAGGTAGTGTTCACGTAAATATTAGAAATCGATGCGTGTACAGTTGATAATGTCTTCTATTTTAACATTACAGCTACGTAAGAAAGAGTTGAGTCATATTAACTATGTCATATATACGAATTGACATCATCAATAGGATATCAATTCACTTTTAAACATAAGTATTTATAATAGTCAACTCTATTATAAATACTTATAATTAAAAAAAAACTGTCAAATATATTTCACTACAACATGTTCTTTGACTATGCAAACGCTTTTTGATACATTTGACAGAAAACAGTGTTTAAAACATGTTTTCTTTTTTGTGAAAATCGCGTCAGTGCAAACTCACGGTGACAAACGGACACACGATCAAATCATGAAAACACAGCAGCAGTGTGCGGCTGTATATAATATATAAAATATTATACTGATATTCTGCGGGAGCGTGATTCTTACTCGGTCGAGCCAACCTATTCATGCAGCAGCTATTATACGCTGCGCTGTAGGGTGACTTTGCCATGGACTACTAAGCTAATTGAGAACTATTAATCCCACCAAATGATATAATTAGATAGAGATATAATTAGTTTTTGATTTTTTTTATCCTTTTTTTAAAAGGACACTTTTTTAAAAAAAAATCTTTTCTAAAATATAAGTAACTTTTGAAGATTTTTCTTGCATTTTACGCTTTACTGTTTTTTTTTTATTTTAGCTCTAAGAATAAAAAGAAGTCAAAGTAAAACTAACGTTTTTTGACACAGACTAACAACAAATAAATTATGCTTTTCAGAAATTTATTTTGTATACTGTATTTTAAGTAACGTAGAAGTTGCCTTGGGTTTTGATAAGCGGGTTAGTGAGTTATAAAAGTGGCAGGATTATTCAAGAAATATAGGAATCTAGTCCTGGTTAGTTATACAAAATTATTAGTGTTAATAGTTTTTAATAATAAAAAGGTAACTCCCCACCTCTATTTCGCGGTGTAAGGTCTTCATTAAGTAAGCAGCGAGTCACCACCTGCCAACTTTTATCCATTGTGACACGATAACGGCAGATGTCCCGAGCCTATCCTCAATAGCCCTGCGTCCCAAAACATGGAGCATCCCAACCTCATTATTTTTACTTTTTACCTTTTTGTAATTGTTATGAGTATATTCTGGGGTTCTTCTTCGGATAAATTTTTAATATGTATGCGGAAAGAGGCATACCCTATACACTACATTATAAAGTATAGTGAAATTCTCCAAAAGGCCTCTATGTGTTGGACCCACAAAACTTTCCGTAAGAATTACTTGTAATATTAAAGGAATAAAATTATTCTATTCTATTCTGTTCTATATTACCTCGTAGTGGCGATGTAAGAATATCCACTACCCCATAATATCCCGTGGGTGTCGTAAGAGGCGACCCAGGGAAACAAATCAGGAGATAGGCAGCAAGGTCTTCCTAACACGACTAAAAAAAACTGCGGTTACTGACCCGCTTGTCGCTGATGTGTTGCTACAGGGAATGGAACTTTTTATTCCATCATCTGTGGTACCTATCGGAGGCAGAACCAAGTCCTGGTTTGGTCGCTCCTGCAAAATTGCATAACATCATAAGCATGAGTATTACCAGGCCCGCACTCGCGCACCGACGTCTCGGGATGTAAATACCAGCACTTCTAAAAAGAAGTATAATTCTGCTTCCAGGTCCTATAAAAGTGTCACTGTCAACGCAAAGTCAGAGCGCATCGGCAGAATTGGAAAGAAACTACTTCGTCTTCCTTCAGGAACACGTGCATTTTGGTCTCTCGCCAAGGCTGTCCAAGGGAACTTCTGCCAGCCATCTCTCATATCCCTGCACAGGGGGGACGACTCACTGGCCCATGCCGCAAAGGACAAAGCCGATCTACTGGGCTCTCTCTATGCGTCCAACTCGACTCTTGATGACGGGGGAACACACCACCGACCATCCCGCGGTGTGAGTGCTCCATGCAAGATGTGCTGTTTACCCAACTCTCCTTGGACATCACCAAGTCGAGTGGACCTGATGGCGTTACTCCTATTGTGTAACCGCTCTGATCCGTCCGATTATAGGACTATCGCCATCACCTCCTTGTTCTCTAAAATAATGGAATCCATTATTAACAGCCAGCTCATGCGGTATCTTGAGGAACACCAGCTGATTAGTGACCGCCAGTACAGTTGCCGTCGCGATAGCTCGGCTGGTGAGCTCATAAATGGGCGGAGGCAGCAGAGTCCAAGGGTTAGGCGTTGGCAGTTAGTTTGGACATAGCAAAGGCCTTCGATCGGGTTTGGCACAAAGCGCTTCTTACGAAGCTTCCTTCCCTACGGGCTTCTCGAGATGTGCTTCTCGAGATTGTGCAATTGCTCTCGCTCCGATCGTGCTCGGCTCGGCTGGAGCGTAATGGGAAAAAGAGTCATCTTTTTCCTGCATGCAGCCGGCATTCATCGACTTATTAGACGTTGTCCCGTCAAAAATTACAGTATGTGTAATATAGAACTAAGTCAGGATGCAATATTGGACAAATTAAAGAAATTCGTTACTCGTAAAAGTCCAGGGTATGATGGTATTTCCGCCCTATTTTTCTTAAATTGTTCAAGGGAACTATGTGAACTACTAACATTATTGTTTTATAAGTCCTTAAAGTCAAGTCTTTCCTTTCCATTTGGAAATTGGCTCACATCGTACCCACTCACAAGTCCGGGAGTAAGTCTAACTGTAAAAATTATAGACCTATTAGCATTTTGTGCTGTTTTGCTAAGCTGTTTGAATCTGTATTATTGTTATTTTTTCCTCTCTAGTTAAGCCGCTTATATCTAACAGGCAGACGGTTTCGTGAGAGGAAGATTAACAAGGACCAATTTGTTGGAATACAAAAGCTACTTGTGTGAGGTTTTCGCCGTGGGTGGGCAGGTTGATGCCGTGTTCCCTGATTTTACAAAAGCTTTCGACAAAGTAAATCATTTTTTACTCTTTAAAAAATTAGCTATGTTGGGTTTTCATGGAAATCTACTGTGCTGAGTTCATTCGTACCTCGATTATAGAAGTCGACTTGTCGTTGTTTATTTTTATTATCTTCATAAATGATCTGATTTGTAAAGTGTCCAGTCCTTGCCTTCTATATGCAGATGTCCTGAAAATGTACCGTGTAATACAGGATATATCTGACTGTGGTAAGCTGCAAGATGATATTGATTCAATATTTGAATGGCGACTGCTTAACAATATGCACCTCAATGTTAAAAAATGTTTTATTATAATGTTCACAAATAACAGAACTAATGTTCACAAACAACAAATAACAGACTTATGACTATAAAATTAATGAAGATTCATTAGACAGGAAAACGGTAGCTATGGGGTAACTATGCGTACATTAAAAACCAAGCATTCCAGTTACTATGTTTCATAACGAGATGCACTAATGGCTTCAAACATTCTCAAAGCTTCCTGGCCGTTTATAACAATAGCCTTATCTGTAGCATTCTTGATGCTTGTGTCATTTGGTATCCCTGCTACACGGCCCATTCTGATAGTATACAAAGCGACCATACCAAAAAAAGAACCCTTAGAATACTTAGCTATAAATGTGGACTTTCTCGCAGTCTTGTCAGTTATAGTAAGGGACTCCTTTACTTATTCGCCGTAAGGAATATGACCTTATATATTTACATAAAATTCTCCATGATGTGATCGATTCTGGTTACCTCTTAAGTAAATTAAACTTCTTAATTACAAACGGCCCCTTTTCCAAAATTTGTCTGCAGAATTATAAGAATAATACTTCTTTTTACAACCCGATAATAAGAATGTTCGACTTTACAGAGAGATATCCATGAAAGACTCCGACTTGAATATTTTGACCCAAGAACCAAGATATTCAAAAACGCACTAAAAGAACTTACAGATATACACACTTATTCCCATATCAAAAAGGTAATAAATTTGTTGTTTGTTAAATTCATTTGTATTTTGATTTTTATCCGTTTTATAGTCCATACAATAAATAAATAAATGAACAAATGACATCTTGATAATTTCCTTCAGAAAATTGTCAAGGAAAATGAAACAATAAAAAAATGAGAAATTATATTTTAATCGTGACCACATTTATTTATTTTATTCTATTTACAATCGTGAACACATTTGCATACAGTTAACATTTCGTCGTACAGGCTGATTGAACCGATAAACGAAGGGGAAGTAATGTTCTTAATCCCATCCTTATACGGATCGATAGGGACCACCAGTTTTAGTGATGTATGTAGGGATGGCGAATAGAGATATGCACTGCTGCAACAGGACATTTCGGTATTCTGGGTCTGTAAATGGGTTGTCATGAGCAGTAGTCATAATTCTTGAATCACGTGTCGCACGTCTCAATAAAGCGAAGGCGGAGATCACGTCGATCGCAATAAGTCAAGTTTTTGATAGAGTAAGGTTGACAAACGAACACACAGTTCTCAAGAGGTAAATAAATGTTAAGGCCCATAGAGATATCTATCCTCGATTAAGAACTAAAATTCAAATGCGTTGTGACTCTAATCACTAAAATGGAATGCCCCGTTTCCAAAAAAGGGGTATCCAGATACGAAACACAGAAGCTTCAAGCTGCTATTTCATCCTAGTACTACGAGCATGTAAGAGCGTAAGTCTTCTCTGATCGAGCTGAATCATTTGTGCTACAACCATGATTTAGCTGCAGCGTGGTTCACGACATAAAACTAGGAGTTTTCTTTCCGGCACGACTTCTTGTGCAATCGTTTACTACCGGCGATTTTCGAAATCAATACTACTCAGGGACCCTCAAGAAACAAACGTAGACGTTGTCTGTTACACAGTAATCAGGGTATTTGATGCTGGTGGTCCGGCGGTCAGTAGTCGAGGTCGTGAATGTCTCGCGGCTTGATGATGCCGAGGCGAGTTGCGAGCGCGGCGACGTTCGCGCGCACCTCCTCCTGCACCAGGTTGAAGGACATCGCCAACAGCGCGATGCCGAACAGCAGATACAGTGAGCACAGCGCGATTGAGTGCACCGCGTCCGCCGCCTCGCCGCTCTGCCCCTGCAACTTGGACTAGTGAGTGCTTGTTCTGCGAAAATCAAGGGACCAAAGACTTCTATGTATTTGAACGTGGTAGAGCTATGCTGCAGCACGTGTTCTAGCACGTGTTAGCACACGTGTAGCAGTGTTCTAGCGTGGCTCAACCGGGGTAGGATCACACTGTCACGGAATACCAGCGTTAAATAGCAGCCCAATACTTGTGTGTTTCGTATTGTGAGTGTAAAGAACCAGAGATAAATATATATTTGAGCATTGACATTTGCACTAGTGGTGACCGATTTGCAGGGCTAGTGGCGGAGGAACATCGATCACAACTTGTTCATCTGATGCTCAACTCAGATCACAACATTTGAAATTCAAATTCAAATCGTTTATTGCGATATAAGTTAATACAGATTAGCATTACTATAACCGCCATCACAAATAACATTTTATTAGTTATATATTAAATTATTCAAACATGCTTTAGTTATAATTAGAGTTCTTAACCAAAATTAATAGCGATAATTCAATGTAGATAATATTATATATAAGTCAAGGCAATTTAGTTATACTGAGTCATGTATTAGTCAATTATTGAATTTCTTATTTATCTTTGACACACTGTAGTATGCACTATTAACATGAAATTGCTTTAATAGTATTTTAAAATTATCTATGTTGGAACATCTCAAAATGTGTAATGGTAAATGGTTATAAATTCGAGGGCCATACAAAATATGCTGTTGTTAAATTGGGCTGTTTTGTTTGACAGGAAACATATTTTATCTGGGGGCACGGCAGTACCCCCGCCAAGTCGAGCAAATAAGCGGCACGGCCGTACCATACTTTTCTCGAAGCAATTCAGGCCATTTTAGACTCCCTATAATTTCGTAGAGGATAAAACTAGAAGCCTGAATTTTCAGTAACAAAGTAGACATTGTATATTCATGGTATATTTGAAATTTCATTCAATTTGAACCAGTAGTTTAAGAAGTATAACTAATCAAAGTTTCTTAATTTTGCCACTCACTGACTGACCGATCGTCAAAACTCTAAGACTTCTAGCAGACATAGAAGCTTCAAATTTAGAATACAATTATTGTTTAGTGTATAAATCAAGAAAAACTAAAATATTTTTTAATTTCGGTCCAGTTTTCTAGATACACCAACTGCATAAATAACTTTGTAATCCCATATAAATATATACAATTACTAAGTTACATTTGCAGTGAATGAATCAGTGTACTTGTATATGTATAATAGGTGTAGATAGGTACGTTGTTGGTATTCAAGAAGTAGAAGGTACCGGAAAGAAAAATTAGGACTATCTTATCTACAAAAAGAAATGAGATGCATTCAAAAACATAACTTGTAAAAAAAAACAAGTCTCCAAGCCAATACACCAAGCTATCGCATGAAAACACAATGTATCTCACAAGTAATACATATTATATTAAATTAGATTGCTTAGTGCGATTGCCAAGTCAATCTATAATATATTTAAAACATAAAAGATTTTTAACATTGATATGGTCACTATAAAATGTTCTTAGGTTACCTAATTACGTAATAACCTATAACAGAAGGACCCTTATGTAGGGACTGAATAAATTAACCGACTAGGTATTACATGGATCCCACAACTTTTTAAGGTAGAAGAACTGAGTTGCGAGACTTGGGTTATGTTTTTGATGGCATAATTATTACGTTTATTGAGTAGGCACTCAAATAAAGAAATATGCGTAATAACAAATACTGCTACCTCATATATATAAAGGCTTGGAAGTGTTAACAGTTTCAGACTAATAAAAAATGGTTTAACTTTATCCGTATGTTTTAATTTCACAATAGCCCTTACACATCTCTTTTAGGCGCTAAATATCATACAATTGTCTACAGAGTTACCACAAAAGATGACACCATACCTTAACACTGATTCTACATAACCATGGTACGCAGTGATGACGGCAGATTGATTCACAATTGTTCCAAGTCTATGCAGTGCATAAGAGAACTGGTTTAGTTTAGTACAAATGTCTTCTACTGATTAGAGTTGAGGCCTAAAAATTTTGCATTTTCGACTACATTAATATGTTGTCCGTTGTAGCATAATATATTTAATGATTTTTTGTATTTCTGAATGTCCTTAAATTTGTTTTATTTATATTAATTAATAAATTATTATTTGATAACTATTGAATTATCATGTCCAGTGTCCATTATGTCAGATATCATTTTACTTTTGCTGGTGCTTGTAAACATCACTGTGCTACCGTCAGCGTATAGTACCATATCTTGATTTATATAATTTGGTAATTCTCCTGTCCACTCTCCTTCCCACTCCTGCATATGTTTCAAATTTAGGCGTTATAAACAAGTTCAGTCAGGTATTTTATTATTCAGCCAAGTCTCTGTTAGCAAAACAACATCATAATCAGAAATAATTATGTTTCATAAAAATATTTGGATTTTAGTGCGTAATCATCGATTTTTTAAAATATTTATACAGATATTTATTATATATACAGATAACGAAGTGAATTTAATAGATTTTGTTTATTAGACTTGTATTTAATTATTAAAATAATTATCATTACAACTACTTAAAACTATTCTATGAGCCCAGGTCTCTTATAAGCCTATAGTCGGAGTTCAAAGTTTTTCTCATAAAAAATACGCCCGTTCTTAACCCACACGTGTCGGCATTCTTTTTCTTTGCCAATCTTTCCAGCTGCGACACGAAGCGATCATCATTGGTTAGATATGATCCACAAATCCCTAATTCGAGCTATTAAGCTTTTCTTGCATTGCCGACAAAGATGAAATGCCTCATTTCCAGTGAAATGGGTGTCCGGTTCTTCAAACTCACCATACGTGACACAGCAGCGCTGAGCTGCTATTTTACTCTGGTATTCTGTGAAAGCGTGGTCCTTCACTGGTTGAGCCGACCTATTCATGCTACAACTAAAAACTGCTTAAAACTCATCACGTAGATATCTGTTAATTGCTGCTAAAAACTCATCACGAATCCTTTTATTGGCGAATTGGATTACAACTATTTTCGGTCGCATACTATTAGTGTTGATCTTGGGGTACGTGTACAGTTGATAATATCTTCGCTTTTAACATTACAGTTGAGTAAGAATACCCAGTTGAGTCATATTAACTGTCATATATAAGAATTGAGATCATATTGACTATTACAAACATTTATTTTTAAAAGTTACTCTAAACAAATTTTGGTAACAACCTGAGCAGGCACAAAGTCGCCGAAGCCGATGGTGGTGAGCGTGATGAAGCAGAAGTAAGCCGCGTCCAGGTACGCCCAGCCTTCCCACCGCTTGAACAAGAACGTGCCCGCCACGATGTAGGAAGCCACCAGAAACACGCACAGCCAGATAGGCACCGGCTTTATCTGACACCATTGAGAAACGTTGCTTCTTTATTTTTACATTCATTGCAAATATTCAAACAGCTTAGAAACTGAGAGCAACATCTTTCGTGTGTCTAGCGTAGGAACCACGGAGTTCAGCAGTGAACTTATAAAGGCTGTAATGGATGAATGATTGTGTATTAAAGGCAAAAGGTGATAAGCTGTAAGTACTGCGGTGGCAAATTCGCCTGAAAGATGTAGCGACTATACTTGCAAATCCTGCTATGATCTGATAGTTAAAGATTTACTGAAAGTTAATAGCTGATTTAATAAAGATTTTAAGGACTGGCAAAAAATTAAATCTTAACACATTTTAAGTTTATCTGGTTTTATTTTAATTTTTAAGTTGTTTGTGTTCTTAGTTTCACAAATTATTAAAATATTCGACGAATCCGCGAAATATTCAAAATAAATCTTCTGATTTAACGCTAGAGATACAAAGATACACATTATGAAACTCACTTCGTCTCTGGCGATCGACACTGGCCCAGATGGATGCAAATCAGACTGCCGGGAACCCCAATCTAAAACAATTAAAGTAAATTTAATTGTTATTAGTGATTTAAATATATTATAAATCTAAAAATAGTGAGTCAGTTCTAAATCAATTACTAGATTTTTCTGTTCAGAAATTCTCACTACTGCCTGGAGTTAAGAAGTTTGAGGTGTTTCAACTCCTTGTCTCCTAAAGCACATAAAGCTGTAGGTCCTGCGCTTGATCTCTCACCGGTCGTGTCGGATTACAGTCTCATCGTGCACTGTAATCCTGCACTACGCAGATGGCTAGTCTCCGTTGAGATTGGCCGCTTTGACCTAAATTTGCTCTGAAGGACATTCCATCCATCCATTAAAGCCTATCAAAGTCCACTGTTGAACATATGCCTCCCTTATATTATATTGCCTCAAGGAGGAATTTTGCCATAGTTGCTACGCTTGCCAAGCGGATCGGCAACCGCAAGGTTTTATTACTTTCAGTTGTTATTGGGAGATGCTGCCCATCTCCTGTTTCATTTACCAAGAAAAACTGAAAAAAACCCCCGTGTTCAAATTTTTACCCTATTCAGTGGGAATTCACCCTATTTTGGACTTTAAGAACTTAACATAATATCAATGTTCTAAACATCACAATACCGCTGTGACAAGTTGCAAAAACAACTCATTTAGGAACTTCACCGCTCATGGACCCCACGGATCGATAGTATATACGAGTACAGCAAATGCACAAATATGTAGTCATCTCTCAGATACTCCTCTAGTTAGCCACCTTTGATGTCACACTGGCTTTAAACAAGGTAAATATCACAATAGGTTGACAGTAAATAGCAACAATTGGAAACGTAAACGAAGTAAACACATGCAAAGTCGGGCAATTCAAGTGACACACTAAGTCCCTTCTTCCCTAAATTTCCAACTAGTTTTTTTACATTTACTATCTAGCTCGCACTCATCCAAATCATATCATTTTTGTTTAACATGGATAAAAGACGAGTGGTGCGGGATGCGTGCAGGTAGACAGTATAACGGTCACATCACATATTCCAAACCCATAACAGACTAATCATTTGCATTCATGTGGTGGTTGATCATGTGGTAAGGAATATTGACGCAGGCAAAAAAACAATTAGGCAAAAAAACAAAAAAGGAATATTTGTTGACCTTTTGACGCAGTTTTTGTGGCAATGTTACTCATTAAACTACACGGGATGGGAATTCAAGGTAATCAGCTAAAACTACTTATCTACAACTTTATATTATTGATTAGTGATCTGTTTTGTACATAGCGAAATGTAAAATCTTAAAGGGAAGAACGCTGCTGCCTGAAACACAGATTTTAAGTTATCTAGTTCAGACACAGATGTTCACTGAATTGTATTTATTGCTAAGCTGTATCTCAAAATGTTTGTAACCTACAAATTAAGATATTCTTTGCTTGAAATAATAAATTATTGGGGGTTATTGATAGAGTATTCACATCTGGTTGGGCTGGATAAATAAATTATTATTATTACAGTTTCATTAGCGGTCCTTTTCGGGTTAAAGATGCGGCATCGGCTGATCGCAAATTATTATTATTATTCGTTAAAAATTTTAAGCCAACTTTAGGCGTAAGCTGGATTTAAATAAACTTTTGGTAAATCCAAATGTGTATGCCTTAAGCGCTCATGTAATACGTCATTTTTTTTAAACTATTTTAAATATCCACAAGTTTTCACAAATAACCTTATTACTATTACTACTCACTTTCCGATAATTTTATGTCAAACTTCAATAAAAAAAATTGTAAAATCCAAAACTGCACCACTCATAACGCTCATATGATCATGAAAAAATTTAAAAAATTCATTTTACAATAGAAACACTTTTTTAATTTTACTATGTTATTATTATGTACACTCAATTTTTTATTGTTAATTGAAAAAACGTTTAACAGAATTATCTTAAAACAATCAGAAATTAACTTTAATACCTATTACTTAAATTTTTGGATATTTGTACTCAGGCGTTATTTTAAAAACTATATAGTCTTTTTTACCTGACTTGTTAATAAATATGTTTGTTAACATAGGGCCTCCTCCAAGGAACGCCACAAAGCGTGATTCTGAGCCACCTGCATCCATCGATTTTCTGCATGTCTTACCAAGTCATCACTCCATCTAGTGGGGGACTACCCTACACTTCGCCTACTGTTAACCTTTTTTCTCCATCGCTTATTAGTTCTTCGAGTTATTTGACTGGCCCATTGCCACTTCATCTTACTTATACGCTGGGCAATGTCGGTTACTTTGCTTCTACTGCGGATATCCTCATTTCTAAGTTTATCACGCAGAAACCGTGAGCATAGCCCTCTTCATAGCACTCAGCGACCTTGAGCTTTCTCATACGCCCAGCAGCACACGACTACGTCTGAGATCCATAAGTCATCTCTGGCAACACGCACTGTTAATTCAATCTTGATTTCAAGTTTTGAGTATACTTGACGAGAAGATGTGTTATAATCTCCCGAACGCTGCTCAGCCAAATTGAAATCGTCGATTGACCTCTCGGTCGAAGTTGGACTAACCTAGTTGGACTATTTATCCTTAGTTAACAAACTCGTCAACAACTTCAAGTTTTCGGAAACCGGCTTATTCGTTCCTTAGTCGGCGTATTAGTATGAAACGATTAGTAAAGACTCTCGAAACGAGCACATAGACTTGGCTCAGAAGGGAAATTGATGTGTAGTTCTTCAAGAGAGCGTTGTCACCTTTTTTCAAGAACAAGATTACCGTATTTCTGCTATGCTCCGGATGTCGGATCAAATAGCTTATAAAGGACTTGATATTGGTTTTTCATCTGCTTTTAGTAGCTCCGCTGTAATTCCATACTCGTTCGGGGACTTACCGTATTAAGGTGCTGGAGAGCCATACTAATCTCACTCAGACTGACGTCCGGAATATCATCGGAAAAGTATCGGATAAGAGTTGCTCTCGGATCGTAACTTACGCTTGCGTGTGACTCCAACGATGACGTGACACATAGAAGTTCTCAATCTCACTCAAAATCCCAGATATCCCGGAAACGATGCTGCCACATTCGGTCAATTTCGACAGTTGGCTCTTTCTGGCCGACATATCTCGGGCAAAGACTTTGGAGCCTTAGTTCCACCTGATCACTCCTTCAATATGAGCTGTATTGAAGTTGCGTAAGTATTGCCGCGTACATTTTGAGATTTGTCGGTTCAGTTGCATGTATGCAGTCAAATTTGCTCAAGACTGCAGCTTCATTTCGCGTCGAACAACTATGATATCCTAGAGTTTTTTGGTTCCTCTGCAACGGGTCTTGCAGAACTTAGCTCCGACTGCATGGACAGTTTCCACGAGTTTGTCATTCATATCATGCACCGCATTGCAGTTTTCTACGCACTGAAAAAGATTTTGTTACTTGAGTTGAAAGTTTTCGGGGCTTTAGATTGGAGCACAAGGGGAACGGAGCGGTGAATTCATTAGACGCGACCTCTCCAACTTAACATGTAGATTCATTGTGCCTGTCACTATTCGATGATCGCTGCCAGTTTTCACCCTTGCGATCACTAAGACATCACTGAATAGTTTAGTTTCATTGCTAATGGGGTGGTGATGTTTGACATAGTTGCCACGCTCGGTAAGCGGATTGGCAACCACAGTTTTTTTTATAATTTTCAGTATCCTTTATGTTTTTTTTTTGTTGTGGATATTCTAACACCGCCCCTACACAGAATTTTCATTACACTTAACTGACTTAAGGTGTGGTGACGTGAGGACTTAAGTCCTCCAGCAATTGGACTATGTTGACTATTTTTGTTCTCGTTTAGGAATTTATCGTGCAAACTGCGAGTACATCCTTCTCCAAAACTCAATGAGGAAAAATCATGAGCTTACCTACGCGGTCACAAGTAACATACTACATCAAAAAGTAGCACAAGCGATGCATACTGGTAATCTTCTAATCGGATAATTTGTAGCAATCTTCTGAATACTACCGAACCAAAATTAAATTCATCGGTGGACTTCGAAGTCGAACTTATCTTGACTGACAACTTGTTCTACATAAATAGTTACGAGTCTACAAGTCCCTTAAAAACTAATTAAATAACCAAAATACCTGCAGGAGGCCTGCGTCGAATGGGAGGCAGCTCGTCACTCCAGTCATCTCTATCCGGGGACGGTGTCTGTGTAAAAATAATTGATTAAGTCTGTTTATAGACCTGTTTAATGACCTAGATCTCGATTAATCAAATCAAAATCTGCGTGGTAATCTTGCAATACAATACTCAGTGTCCACCAAGAAAATATTCACGTAACAAAAATTAACTTTTAGAAATTATAAATATTTATTTATTTAACTTCTTATGTACATTACAGTTCATATGTATATTTTATTTAATATTGTTGCATGAATAAGTCAACTAGCGCCATCTAGTGTCAGGAACGAGAGCGAGGGGAGCTTTGCAGTAAATGACATCACAAATCTTTCGACCGACAGCGCCACCCGAAGAACTAAGTTTCTGGAAAATCTACACTCGAATACTCGTTGCCTGGCGCGCATTTACTTGAACGTTCGGGACGCTTCTTTACTAATTGTATAAATAGGCGCTGCAAGATGCGATCGGGGCAGAGTTGAACTCGGCGACACAAGCGAAGCTTCGGAGCGGAATTAAGTGAATTAGTGTGTTTAATTATTAGTGTTTTTAGTTTTAATTTGTGTAAAGTAAATTAAAGTGTTAATTTAGGTAATTTTATCGGCAATTTTTATTGTCACGAACCTCAAGCTCGTAACAAATGGTGTCAGAAGTGGGATAAAATCATGCCGATTTTACCTAAGGAGGAAACGGAGGGTGTCCGTACCCGAAGTCAACGCCAGCAGGAGACGGACCAACGAAGATTTGGTGGTGCAACGCCGCAGACGTCGGAGGGCCAGCCACCAGCTGTAGGCCCGTCGGTAGCTCCTACATCTGCAGCACCTGACTTAGGTGCTCTGATGGTGATGCTGGAGGAACAGGCCCGTTGGTTAAAAGAGCAGCAGGAGGTACAGGCTCGCCGACAGGAGTAACAGGCTCGCCAGCAGGCGGAACAGGCTCGCCAGCAGGCGAAACAGGCACGCCGATTGGAAGAGCAGCTGCGGGGCGGACAAGAGGAACAGGCCCGTCGGTCGGAAGAGCAGATGCTCCTCATGAAGGACCTTCACGCTACCTTCGGGAAGGAGATAAAGGAGGTGAAGGATAGGGTTGCTCAGCATGACAACCGCCTGTCGGAAGCTGAAACCCAAATCGCGAAAGCTGAAAACCGAAACGAGAAAGCTGAAACCTGAATCGACCAAGTAAACAATCGGGTTGACAACGTAATGGCGGACATGAAGAAATCACTAGACGAACTCAAACTTGGGGATGGAACTACAGCTCCCGTACTAGCTACAGCACCTTCGCTACGTGGATTCAAAGTGCCGCCGTTCGACGGGACTTCTTCCTGGTCGGCCTACAAAATCCAGTTCGAGGCTGTTATGAAGACGAACGGCTGGAATAAAAGTCAGGCCATGACTGCTCTCACACTGGGCCTGCGCGACCAGGCCTTAACAATTCTTGAAGCTCTCGGTGAGGAAGTGACTTATGAGCAACTCCTTGAGGCATTGGAGGCGAGATATGGCGACGCTCACCTGGAACACGTCTTTCGTGCGCAGCTTAAAGATCGTGTGCAGCGCATCAACGAAAACCTGCAGCAGTGGGCTCTAGAAGCGGAGAAGCTGGTGCGAGAAGCATACCGGTCTGTACCTGCGCTCATTGAAGGGAACCTGGTGCAGACATTCATCGACGGCATCCGCGACCTGGAAGTCAGAGCTGCTGTGAGGCTCGGGCACCACGAGACGCTTAAGGACGCCTTGGCCCATGCACTGGAAGTGGAAGCCGTGCGGCAGGATCATCGTTCCCATCGCGTCAGGGAGGTTGCAGCAGCTACAGTTCGCGACCGCAACAAAGGATACAGCCCTAGGTGCTATGGCTGTGGGTAAAAGGGCCATCTTAAATCCAGCTGCCCTAAGCGAACCCTAGAAAGGGAAATTGAACGATCTCAGGAGGGTAGTGCGGCCAACAGCACCGCCCAGCAGCGGCAGGGAAACGAGTAAAAGCCAGAACTGCGGGGCGGGTGCTGGCTGATGTTAAAAGAGCCCCAAGGATCTCGATCTCACAAACCCATGATGGGAACAGCCTAATCATAAAGGGACCTGACCATAGACACTGGAGCCTCTCGTACGGTTGTTAGTTCCCAACTTATAAGTCAGTTCCTTGGTTGCTAGGCAACGTGATCTACCTGCATAATGTCATCGTGGCTGATATAATGGACGACTGCATCCTAGGCCTAGACTTTATGAGGAATAATTGTTGTGAGATCGACGTTAAGCAAGGTGTTTTGAAATGTGGACAGGAGGAACTTTTTATGGAAGGTGCGTTAACAGGGAACGTGTACAGCATCAAGAAGATTGTTCTTCCGCCGAGATCGGAAACGATTGTTCCGGTTAGTCTTCCTCGAAACGCTGGGCAAGCTCACCGTTGTGTACTTGTGGAAAGGGTAAACAATGACCTTCCATGGAAAGTAGCTCGAACCTTGGTCAGGACCACTGACATCTCAGGAGTACGTGTGCTGAACCTTTGCGACCGGGAACAGATTATAGAAAAAAACACACTGGTTGGTACTTGTGAGGAAGTGGATTGGTTACGTCAGTGCCAATATATATCGAGTGGGACCCCCAGCAAGGATTCAGAAACGAGAGTGACCACACTTTTGGAAGACTGTCGCAGTGTTCTGTCCCCGAACGAATTGGTCAAGGCGAAGAAGTTGTTACTCGAGTACGCCGATGTATTCTCATCAAACGATGCTGACATAGGAAAGACTGGTTTAGTTCAACACAAAATAAACACAGGTGAAGAGTTGCCTATCCGTCAGCGGCCAAGACGATTGCCGGTAGCACGTGAAAAGGAAGTGGAAACCATGATTAAGGTAATGGTGAAGGATGGTGTTATTGAACCTTCATCTAGTCCATGGTGTTCACCCGTGGTACTGGTAAAGAAGAAGGACGGCAGCTTGCGGTTTTGTGTTGACTACCGCCGTCTGAACGACGTTACTAAGAAGGATAGCTATCCCTTGCCAAGAATTGACGACACGCTGGACATGCTTACAGGAGTAAAGTGGTTTAGCATGCTGGACCTAAAAAAGTGGCTACTGGCAAGTTGAAATTGACCCTAAGGACAAGGAGAAAACTGCGTTCTCGACGGGAAAGGGTCTGTGGCAATTTAAAGTAATGCCGTTTGGGTTGTGCAATGCTCCAGCAACGTTTGAAAGGCTGATGAAACTTGTACTTACCGGGCTAATTGGCGACGCCTGTCTGGTCTACTTGGATGACATCATCATCGTGGGCCGTACGTTTGAGGAACACCTTCAAAACCTGGAACGCGTGCTCATGAAGATTAAGAGTGCCAACCTCAAGTTGAGTCCGAAGAAATGTTCACTATTCAAACGGCAAGTCAACTTTTTGGGGTATGTAGTGTCGGAAGAAGGTATCCGCACGGATCCAGAGAAAATCGCAGCTGTAATGGATTGGCCGGTTCCAAAAGACAAGACGCAGGTTAGAGTATTTTTGGGTTTGTGCTCCTACTACCGACGTTTTGTGAAGAACTTTGCAGATATAGCCAAACCTCTGCATAAGCTAACCGAGGAGAAGCGACATTTCTGCTGGGATGAAAGTTGTAATATCGCATTTCAAGAGCTCAAGGACCGTCTGTGCAAAACACCTATTGTGGGATACCCTGATGCAAGCAAAGAATTTATAGTTGACACAGACGCAAGTGATATAGGACTTGGCGGTGTGTTGTCTCAACGGAATGGTGACCAAGAGGTCGTGATAGCGTACTTCAGCAAGTCGTTGTCAAAACCGGAAAGGAACTATTGTGTCACAAGACGCGAATTGCTAGCTGTGGTAAAGTCGTTGCAGCATTTTAGCAAATATCTTCTGGGGCGAAAATTTCACTTACGAACTGACCATGCTTCACTAAAATGGCTATTGCAGTTTAAAAATCCAGAAGGATAAGTTGCGAGGTGGATTGAACTACTGCAGGAATACGACTTTGAGATCGAACATCGCAGCGGGAAATCTCATGGCAACGCAGATGCATTATCACGAAGACCTTGTCCTGAAGATTGCAAACATTGTACTAGGCAAGAGAGTAAGGAAGTGGTATCCGTGAGGATGCTCAGGGCAGACCACCTCAGCAACGAGTGGAAGGACAGCTTTCAACGTGCACAGCAGGAAGATCCGGACATCAAGCCGATCCTGGAATGGATGAAGGCCAGTGCTCCCAAGCCTAAGTGGAGCGACGTCTCAGCAATGAGTTCAACTACTAAAAGCTATTGGGCCCAGTGGGACAGCTTGCTGCTTCAGGATGGAGTTCTGTGCCGTAAATGGGAAAATGTTCGGGGAGACAGCTGTCATTTACAAATGGTTGTCCCTAAAACTAAAGTACCGGATGTTCTACAGCTGTACCATAATGATTATTCAGGAGGCCATCTGGGAGTTAAACGAACTCTAGTGAAGATCCGAGAACGGTTTTACTGGGTCCACTGTCGAAACGATGTCGAGGACTGGTGTCGCAAATGTACAAGTTGTGCGGCTGTAAAGGGGCCTCAGACTCGTAGTAGAGGTGCATTGAAGTTGTACAATGTGGGTGCACCATGGGAGAGAATAGCCATTGACGTGGCGGGGCCGTTTCCGGAGAGTGAAAGCGGTAACAAGTATTTCATGGTTGTGATGGATTACTTCACTAAGTGGCCAGAAGTCTTCGCCATTCCAAATCAAGAAGCTTCAACAGTTGCAGATAAACTAGTTCATGAAGTCTTCTGTCGTTTTGGAGTACCTTTAGAGATTCACAGCGATCAAGGAAGGAATTTTGAATCTCAAATATTCCAGGAAACTTGCCGAGTTATGGGTACTCATAAAACAAGAACGACTTCTTATCACCCGCAATCTGATGGAATGGTGGAACGATTTAATCAGACATTGGAGAGGTACCTAGCAAAAGTTGTAGACAATCGGCAACGAGATTGGGACAAGCACATACAACCGTTTTTGTTGTCATTTGTTGAAATTCTGTTCACGAAAGTACAGCAGTGACACCAGCTTTCGCAAACTTTGGAAGAGAATTACGGCTGCCTGCGGACCTGATCACCGGGATACCACCTGATGCCCCACGCAGTATAACCGATTATGCAAATGACTTGCGGAACAAAATGAATGACATTTATGAGCACGTCAGACAATCGGGCCAGCAAATGTCTGAGAAAATGAAAACCCGGTACGACCGCAAAATGAACAATAAAGGGTTCAACGAAGGTTCATTAGTGTGGTTGCACAATCCAGTCCGCAGCAAAGGGAAATCTCCTAAGCTTCAAGCTAAATGGGACGGCCCGTACCGGATTGTAACCAGGATCAACGATGTGACCTACCGGATACAGAAAGGCGCAAGAGGGACTCCTAAGATCGTCCATGTGGATCGCTTGGCGCGTTATTATGGGACCGATAATGCTCGGGACGAGCATGTGTTAGGAGGGGGCAGTGTTGCATGAATAAGTCAACTAGCGCCATCTAGTTTCAGTAACGAGAGCGAGGGGAGCTTTGCAGTAAATGACATCACAAATATTTCGACCGACAGCGCCACCCGAAGAACTAAGTTTCTGGAAAATCTACACTCGAATACTCGTTGCCTGGCGCGCATTTACTTGAACGTTCGGGACGCTTCTTTGCTAATTATATAAATAGGCGCTGCAAGATGCGATCGGGGCAGAGTTGAACTCGGCGACACAAGCGAAGCTTCGGAGCGGAATTAAGTGAAATAGTGTGTTTAATTATTAGTGTTTTTAGTTTTAATTTGTGTAAAGTAAATTAAAGTGTTAATTTAGGTAATTTTATCGGCAATATTTATTGTCACGAACCTCAAGCTCGTAACAATATCATTAGTATATTTGCGGGTCTAATGTATGAGGTCTACCAGTATATTTTAGAGTAGTGTAGAGATAAAAGTAACAGATATAAAAAGAAGAACAGAAAGTGAAATTAATAGCGGTATATATATATTATGCGGTATATATATATATATATATATATATATATATATATATATATATATATATATATATATATATATAACTGTACACATTATAAAAAAATTGAGTGAAAACAAAAGGCGGTCTTATTGCTACACAGCAAGTTCAAAGAGATTAATTTACTGATAGGATTAACCACTTTAATATTTAAAGGTTATCAACTTAGGCACTAAATAGAGAACACACTTTTAACTATACATTAGTAGCCGTTAATAATAAAAAGAAAAAAGAAATGAGTATAGAGAAGATAAGAAAAGAAGTGTACGGCATCATGTTCAGTCATCATGTGCTACGTGCAGAATTTAAGTACCTTCGAAGTCAATATAAATCAAAGTTTGCTCATACATGTAATTGTTGGCAAGGTAAAACTGAACCACTTCGATTATATCGCTCGGTCAACGTGTCAAAATATGAAATAGGTGTAGCAGTCCTGTAGTATCTTTCTAATAAATAATATTTATTAATAGATCCAACCAATCAAGAGACGTTTTGCTCGTTATTTTGAAGACTGAAGACACTTACGTTTGTAACAAAATAAATGTTTCATAACATTATAATTACATATCTGTGATGTTGTCTTTCGGTGTCATCGACAGTGTAGAGCCTGCGCAGGCGCCGTGGCCTTCCGTGTCTGTCCCCCACTCCAAGACGATCGTCAGTTCCCCACCGATCGGGACCACTGTCTTGCCTTCTTTCACAGTCGTACATAGCACTTCGCGCGCGGCGGCCGCGTCGACGGTCTAAATCGTAGTCTTCTATGTCCCTTTCGTAGAATTCAGAGCGGCCGCGATCCATTCTAAAGTTAAGATTTAGGTTATATCTACTATTTTTCTATTATTCTTAGGAAACTTACAGTTTTTTACCATCAATTATTATACATTTGTGTACAAATTGATCCTGCGATCATGGACTCCTTAAGCAACGCCGCTAAATGCTGTGAATTGGACGTGGTAGCTGGTAGCTCAGACGGTTAGCGCTCGCTATAAATGTCACAGTACACGTAATACACGCAAACCGGGTTTGATTACCGCTAGCACCAATGAAATTGTTAATTGCAATTTTAAATGTTGATTTACCACGTACTCGGCTGTGAAGGAAAACATCGTGAGGCAACCTGCATCATCATCATCATTATCATTACAGCCTTTCACAAGTCCACTGCTGAACATAGGCCTCCCCTAAGAAATGCCATAGAGCATGGTCCTGAGCCATCTGCATCCATCGACTTCCTGCATGTCTTACCAGGTCGTCGCTCCATCTAGTGGGGGGTCGCCCTACACTACGCTTACCGGTACGAGGCTGCCACTCGAGAACCTTTCTTCCCCATCGGTTATCGGTTCTTCGAGCTATATGGCCGGCCGAGCACTTCAGCTTACTAATGCGTTGGGCTATGTCGGTTACTCCGGTTTTACTGCGGATATCCTCATTTCTGAGTCTATCACGCAGAGAAACTCCGAGCATAGCCCTCTCAACAGCTCGCTGAGTGACCTTGAGCTTTCTCATACGGGCAGCAGTGAAGGACCATGTCTCAAATCCGTAAGTCATCACTGGCAATACGCACTGGTTATACACTTTAGTTTTCAGAGATTGAGGTATACCTGACGAGAAGATGTGTCGTAATTTCCCGAACGCTTCCCAGCCGAGTTGAATCCGTCGATTGACCTCTCGGTCGAAGTTGGACTTACCTAGTCGGACTATTTGTCCCAGGTAAACGTACTCGTCAACAACTTCAAGCATAGTGCTCCCGACAACTACCGGCATAGGTGTGACATGGACATTAAACATGATCTTTGTTTTGTCCATGTTCGTCTTAAGACCTATCCGTTGGGAGACACCATTGAGGTCATTGAGCATAGTGTTAAGGTACTCCAGCGATTCTGCCATAAGGACTATATCGTCGGAAAATCGAAGGTGACTGATGTACTAGCCATTGATGTTAATACCGTATCCTTTCCAGTCCAGTAACTTGAAAACGTCTTCCAACGCAGCGGTGAAGAGTTTCGGGGATATAACATCACCCTGTCCTACACCTCTCTGCAGTTGGATAGGTTTCGAACTCTGGTTCTGTACTCGGATAGCCATCGTAGCCCTACTGTACAAACACTTCAGCACTTCGATATACCGACAGTCAACTTGGCACCACTGAAGGGACTGTAGCACCGCCCAAATTTCGACGGAATCAAAGGCTTTCTCATAGTCTACATATGCCAGGCAAAGTGGCAGATTGTACTCTTCAGTCTTCTGTACAATCTGCCGCAGGGTATGTATGTGGTCTATGGTACTGAAGTCTTTTCGGAAACCGGCTTGTTCAGGAGGCGACGGGAAGTCGTCGAGGCTGCGTGTGAGACGATGCGTTATGACTCTCAAAAATAGCATGTAGACGCGGCTTAGAAGGGAAATCGGGCTGTAGTTCTTCAAGAGAGCGTTGTCACCTTTCTTAAAGAACAAGACCACCGCACTTCTGCTCCACGCCTCTGGAGTAGTGCCACCATGGAGGACGGAATTGAAGAGCTTCTGAAGGACTTCAAGTACCGGTGTTCCACCCACTTTCAGAAGCTCCGCTGTAATTCCATCCTCGCCCGGGGCCTTGCCGTTTTTAAGGTGGTGGAGAGCCATTCTAATCTCGCTCAGAAAGACATCCGGGATATTATCGGAATAGTGTCGGATAAGACTTGCTCTTGGATCATTACTCACACTTGCGTATGGCTCCAACGATGACGTGCAGCTGCCAATAGAACCTCTCAATCTCACTCAGAATCTCAGGTGTCCCGGAAACGATGTTGCCAAACTCAGCCTTCAGCTTTGACAGTTGGCTCTTTCTGGCAGACAGATCTCTGGCAAAAGCCTTTGGAGCCCTGGTTCCGCTCGATCGCTTCTTTAATACGAGCAGTATTAAAGTTGCGTAAGTCTCGCCGCATGCATTTGGAGATCTGTCTGTTTAGTTGCCTGTATGCTGTCAAATCTGTTAACGATTGCAGCCTCATCTCCCGTCTAACAGCCATGAGATTAAGAGTGTGATCAGAGAGTTTTTGTGTTCTTCTGCGGCGGGTCTTGCAGAACTTAGCTCCGACCGCATGGACAGTTTCCACGAGCTTGTCATTCATATTGTCCACTGCATTGCAATCTTCTAGGCACTGAAAGCGGTTACGTAACTCGAGCTGAAAGGTTTCGGGATTATGAATTAGAGCACGAGTGGGACGGAACGTTGACTTCATTAGACGAGACCTCTCCAACTTAACGTTTAAGTTGAGTGTGCCTCTAACCATTCGGTAATCGCTGCCAGTTTTCACCCTTGCGATCACTGAGACATCACTGAACAGTTGGCATCTGGTCGTCATAATGAAGTCAATCTCATTTTTTGTCGAACCGTCGGGGCCCGACCAGGTCCACTTCCTATGGGGCCGCTTCTGGAAGAAAGAGTTCATCATAAAGAGTCCCTCTTTCTCCATAAAGTCGGCCAGCTGCTGGCCCCTTTCTTTTCCGTTGCCCTACTCCAAATTTCCCTACCTTCAGCTCACCGCTTTCTCTTGTGCCTAGTTTTGCGTTGAAGTCTCCCATCAATACCCTGTAGTGGGTTTTGGAGGAATGCATGGCTCTGGAAATATCCACATAGATTTCCTCCACCTCCTCATCGAGATGTGCCGAGGTTGGTGCGTAAACTTGTATGACCTTCAGCGAATACTGTTTGGTGATTCTGACTATCAGGTACGCGACCGCCGTCGACACACTCCCAATGTTTACAACGTTGTTGACGAGAGACTTGTGGACGATAAATCCGACACCTCCTTGGGACAGATGGTCGCCCTCCCGGTGATAGAACAAGTTGCCGGACTCGAGGATTGCCGTGTTATTCCCCTCTTCTTCCAGCTAAAGGATCTTCTCGTCAGTCCTCAGGGTCTGTGCGTTATATGTTGCCAGGTCGAGTCGTCGTAGGTGGCAACCGAACCTTCACCGGAGATTCTTAGCACCCCCTGCCCCGCCGTTACTATGGTCGCCACCGTAGCCAGGAATAGCGGGCCACCGGGGACTCGGGGCCGTCTGTTTTCGTCGTTATTTATGGGGGGATATTTGCCATAGTTGCCACGCTTGGCGAGCGGGTTGGCAACCGCAGTTTTTTATTATATCACAGTTGTTATCAGGAAGATGCTGCTGCCCATCTTCTTTCTGTGTTCCTCTGTCGCCTCTTACGACACCCACGGAAAGATATGGGGTAGTGGATATTCTCAACCGCCACTTCACGGCAACCTACATGTCAGAGAAATAAGAAAAAAAATTCGAACTGATGTGAAGTTCGCCAACATGCATTGGGAAAGTACGGCGGACACTTCTTTGGCCTAAACACCTCTCAGAAATTAGGAAAGGGCTGTGCTCAGAAGTTTGAGGTATACACATAAGATTTAACTTTAACATTTTAACTTTATGTAGAGATTAATCATTGCAAACAAAGTATTCACATGTAGATTAGGAAATAAAAGAGTAGAGTCGCATGATAAAAAAGTGAAAGCCAGATAACAATTATCTTTTAACTTAACCTAATAAATAAACACTTATAAGTTATGTATCCTCGTAACACTTAATAAATTCTGTCACCGAAATTCGCTTTAATGTAATAGTACTATTAAAGAATATATCAGCATTAGTGTGACTCATTTTATTAAAAAAAACTATAATGACGTTGATAATTTGTATAACAAAACCATGTAGTGACGGAATAAGAATATACAGGTAACAGGGTAGTGAAGCCTGTTACCGTCCCAGGTGACAGGGAAACTAAAAGGAGATGGTCAGCAGTATATTTCTAATAACAAATTAAATTATAAAAAACTGCGGTTGCGAATTCGCCTGCCAAGTTGGCAACGATGACAAAATCCCACCTATAAAGCAATATGTGGGACATAGAAGGTGACAAGACAGGGTGACGTTATAACTCTTCACAGCTGCGTTGGAAGATGTTTTCAAGCTACTGGACTGGTGGTATTGACACCAATAGCGAGTACATCACTCACCTTCGATTTGCGGACGATATATTTCTTAATAGTATCTCCCAATGGATAGGTCTTAAGATGCACATGGACAAAACAAAGATCACGTGTAATGTTCATATCACACCTATTCCGGTAGTTGTTGGGAGCACTAAGCTCAAATTTGTTTACGAGTATGTTTACCTGGGACAAATAAGCCGATTAGGTAAGTCCAACTTCGACCGAGAGGTCAATTGACGGATTCAACTCGGGAATTCGTCGGGCGGGAAGCAAATTCAAAAAGCGGTTCGGGAAATTACGACACATCTTCTCGTCAGGTACACCTCAAAACCTGAAAACTAAATTGTACAACCAGTGCGTGTTACCAGTGTTGACTTACGCATCTGAGACGTGGTCCTTCACTGCTGGTCGTATGCGGACACTCAAGGTCACTCAGCAAGCTATGGAGAAGGCTATGCTCGGGATTTCTCTGCGTGATAAACTTAGAAATGAGGATATCCGCGGTGGAATCAGAGTAACCGTCATAGCCCAACGGATTTGTAAGCTGAAATGGCAGTGGACCGGCCATAAACTTGAAGAACCGACACTCAATGGGGATAAAAGTTTCTCGAGTAGCAGCCTCGTACCGGTACCGGCGTAGTGTAATCACATGCAGGTCGATGGATGCAGTACCGTGCTTTGTGACTTTACTTGGGGGAGCCCTATGTTCAGCAGTAGACTTGTGAAGGGCTGTAATGATAATGATGATGATGAAAGCAATTTGTGGATGAAGGCGTATGTTCAGCAGTGTACTTTCCATGTTGTGAAGTAATTAACTTAAATTTTGGAATAACTCGTAACATTCAAGAATCTGTCAGAAAAACCGATTAGATTCTATTACTAACTAAATGATTGCACTAAAAGAGTTCTTAAAATGTCACCTCTGATTGTATCCTGTTCTCCTGGTCCTTGGACTTTCTTCATAATCCTCATCCTCCGGGTCATAGCCTCGATCTCTGTAACTGTAGTCGTCTCTTTCTATTCTTCTTGGTTCTCGTTGTTCCAACGCCTTTCGTTCTTTAAAGTTTTCATAGTCAACGTCATGAAGGTCGTGCATTTCATAAATATCATTGCCATCATCCAACTCATAATGACGCTGCTCATCGAAGTCTCTTCTGGGTCCGAACTCTGGCTTTGATTTCGCGGGCCTCGGTAAAGATTTGCTCCGCAGCTCTGATTTTGAGTTTATCTTCAGCTGGTGATTATCCAAATCCTTTAACGCTGCTTGTAAGTCTTGTAGTGGAAGCGAGATTTTTGGAAATTCTTCTGTAATTATAAAAGTAACTAATACGATAATAGTACTGAGTTTGCATTGACTTACCTATAGACTGTCACACGTTTACATCTCAATGTAAATCGACCAAATGGCAATTAGATATTCTATTATAATCCACAGGGAAGGTAGCCGTAGAAAACAGTTTACGGAGAATCGTGGATCCTATATTTAGAGTGCTTATGAATTACGCCATTTTTACAATAGACGCAGATACATCGGAAATTGCTGAATCAATTAGTATTATTATCGTAGCTGATAAGTATGTTATCGTAGTTTCTAAATATAAAATAAAAAGTCTATTGATGTTGTGTTGTATATTTGCAGTTTGTATCTTACCATCTTCTTCTTCATATTTGTCCCGGGAATATTTATCAAACCTCACTGGTGATCGTTCGCCTGCCTCCAAGTCTCGACCTTGAAAGATAAAATACATATAGAGTCATCTGTATAAAATATGCAAGGTTTTCAAATACCCACATTTTATTAAACCTATAGTGTTATAGGTCTCAATATAAATAAGAGTGGTACACTGAAAACAGAGCGAACCCTCCACCTGATGGTAAACGAATTCTTTAGACCAGAGATACATATACTGTAACTTTACTATTCGTTTATGTGGTATTTTTCTTATAAAATGTGCTAATACTTACCAAAGGTGAACCTAGGAGCTCTAGGGTTTATGCGTACAATATTCAAGTGAAACTAGTTTTTATGGATTTATCGCGTATATTAACTTATTTTATATTCCCGAAGTTTCGAGCACTACACACAGATACAGTGCCCGTGGTCACTGGGGGACTGCAGAATGTTGTAGTTAACTACGACTACATTCAATTTTAAATTATTAATTTTTGGTGCGATCTACGCAGTACCACGGAATAAATAATAGTACTCCGTAGCAGTACTATAACATCTAGAAGTCTAGTTACAGTGGTATGCTTGGGTTGGGATTTAATTTTTTTTAATCATAGGATTCTAAGCAGATGGTAGCACTCAGCCATCTTTTCTATTGAAATTAGGATTTTTTTGTTGATATCAATAGCTTCTGTAAAAACTATTTTCATTTAAATGTTTGGTGTTCGCGTAAGCATAAGAAATCATTAGGTAGGTACCATATTTTTTGGGATTTTGTTGTAGGCAAGTGCCTAGCATATCGTAAAATGCGACTAAAGGTTTATGATCGTGTAGGCGATGGTCTAGTCACCTATCACTTCATTCACAATTTGCATCTACAATTGAGCCCATATTTTATGGCTGAACTTTGTTCGAATAGAACACGGCTCTTAGGATTCTGCCTATTTCTTCGGGGGTTATCATGTGTAAGGCTATGTATATATGTAAAAATTTAAAGCATTAAAATGCTAATTTTTTTAATAACTTAAATAGACTCCGTAGCTGATGAAGATATTGTTGATGGTGATATGAAATGTGATCTATGATGTTTGATTGCTTACCTTGAGATCGTAGCGGCGGTGGCTGAGAGCGTGTCCGTGATGGCAGGGTCGCCGAAGGAGGTCGCGTGCGTTTGATCTTGCCGCTGCTATAGCCGCTATCACGATACCTGCACACAGCGATGGATTTATAATGAGGCACACTGGGCATTGACCGAGGGCACATCGCAGAGAGGACATCGTTTAAAAAGTTAAACTTCTGATCAAACATATGTTTACCATGGTAAAAATGCATGTTATTAGTCAATCAAAATAGTTATGAATCTGTTGCTACTACAAATGCACTAAATGCATTTATATTTGGTTTATAGTAAAATTGTAGCAGCTAAGAACACACTCGATTAAGAGACCTTTCAAACGAAAAAACCTAATCAAAATTGGTTCATCCGTGCAGGAGCTGCGATGTCAAAGACAGACACACAGATACACACAACAATCTTATAACACCTCTCTGTTTTCGTCGGGGATAAATGAAAAACTAGAATACCAAGTTAAATCCGGTGCTGACTGCACGTATGTTCAAATCTATATCATCTTTATCTGTCGGTTCGATAGGCTTTTACTTGGGTTTATTGTTAATAAAACTTTTGCCAAGGATGAGGTTTGCTTTTATTTAATTATAAAACCTCTTACAATTCTGGATTAAGCGCGGACAAAATCGCAGTATCTGTTTATATGTAGGTATTATAGTAAGTCTATAAGCGGCCCACGAATGAGCAAAAGCGTCCCACTATTGAAGGGGTAATGAAGAGGGAAGATTCCACCACAATGTGGCAGTTTAACAGGAGTGAAGGTTTTTATTTTATCTTTTCAGTACTCTAATGTAAACTGATGGAGAATATCTCATGTATTAGTCCATCTATACAAATACATTACTGTGATATGAAATTAAATAAATAAGCATAAAAATGTAACGTAATTCCAGTATTTTATTTTTAGGTCTGACTTCATAGTTTCAGCATTTATGCTCTACATTACGTATACTGGCTTTTTCTTAAATGTTATAAAATGATTAAGATATAAAATAAGTAAATTAAACGCATATGACGGAGTTAATGTCTTAGGACAGGGATGGCGAACAAATGGCACTGTAATACTGCCATCGATGGCACGCGGCACGGTATTTTGGGCACGCCACTGATCACAAAGTTCACTATGAAGTATTAGATTATGAACGAACGCGAGTGATCCTAGTTACATTATGGACTGCTATTGCTAATGACAAAATTCATTTCATTACCATCATTATTACAACCCTTCACAAGTTCCCGCCTCCCCCAAGAAATGCATAGTTCGTTCACGCATAGAATAATAAACAATTTCGTTACTTCTTCACTCCAGAACATAAAGGTTCGCCACCCCAGCCTAACAGCATTCTCTCCCAGTCGACCATTAGAAAAATAGATAAAAAGAGATAGTCATGTAAGAGGCGGTGCAGCAATAATCAAAATAGAAAGGGTTAAAAAATATAATTATAAATTAATATAAAGGTTTTATTCTGGAAGAAACTAACTTAAAATCAGTGTCGGAGTGCGCGCGCTCTACTGGCCGCCGCCGACGACTCGCGCGCACTGAGCGCCTGCAAAAAATTTATAGCAATATACAGTCCTGTCAAAATGCTATTACGTTTCTTTTATTGGTTTTGGGAAGGTTATAAGTGCCTACGATAAGTTGACATTGATAATTTTTAATAGAATAAGGGTGACAAATGAGTACGCAGTCTATCTGATGCTAAGTGGATGCTGGGGTTTTAAAATGTAGATGTAGACAAACGTCTACATCTACATTTCAAAAATCCAAATGTAAATGCGTTGTCACACTAGAGTACAGTACAGTACAGTACAGTAAAAAGAAAAAGAACTCCGGATCACTCGCCATACGAACCAGAGCAGCATTAAGCTGCTACTTTACGCCGGTATTCTGTGCCGTGTAATTTACTATATAAAATTATATATACTTATCAAAATTCTAATTTTCCTTCATCTGAATTATTCAATTAGTATTCACAAGATACGGCTATATCCGAAACCTTGAAATATTGCCAACATTTTCCAGTTGACATATAATATTACATACCTACAAACATTCAGCAAGTTTTTACTTTGTCCCAGCATTCGAAAACAAAATGTTTTATTTTTAGATATGCAGGATTTTTGTAATGTTTTACCTTTACCGTCGAGTACATGGTAAATCAGCACTCAAAATTGCAATTAATAATTTCATTTGTGGCAGCGCGAATCGAGCCCGGCTTTCTCGCGTACTGTGCAATTTAAAGCCAGCGCTTAGTAATTATCTGATATGTTTTTTTTAACTTGCCCGCCCGCTATGAAAATCAATGATCTTCAAAAAATCGGAAAGTTATTGGTTTCATCTCGGTTTTCGAAAATCGATTTCTCATCAGATCTCCACGTTTTGAGGTCCTAGGAAGCTGTATTGACTACTGACACAGTGTGTGTGTCGATTACTGCAAACCGCATCAACACATATTCATGCGTTGAAGAAAAATCGTTAACAAAAAATTTCGAGCAAAGTATTTATTGAATAAAACTAAATTTACGGATTCTAGCGCGTTTATTTAACTGATTTTACTTATTTTTAATTCCCGACGTTTCGGGTGCTTTACAGCAACCATGGTCACGGGGGGGACTGAGATGTTTGACGTCCCAATGTCATTGTTCTTCCCTTCCTTACTACTCCTGTAAATCCAAGATTCTACAAGCGGTACGTAGACGACACCTTCACAATTTTACCATCTGACAAAGCAACTACATTTTTAAACCACCTTAACTCTATAAAATCTAAAATACAATTCACAATGGAGTTAGAGGCAAATAATTCTTTAGCTTTCCTAGATGTTTTAGTCATTCGAAATCCTTATAACACTATTGGTCACACTGTATATAGAAAAAAGACCCATACCAACCGATATTTAAATGGTGAATCTCACCATCATCCTTCACAGTTAGCTACCGTGGGCAAATCTTTGTTTCAGAGAGCACGAGGGATCTGTGACAGAAAACATCTGGCCGCCGAGCTGCAGCATGTCAAGCAAGCGTTGCAAGACAACAAGCTTCGGATCCCGCGCCTACGTCACAGTGACCGAGTGAAGCCGGCCACAGTCGAGCGTGTGCCAGCTGTACTACCATATGACAGAGGAGTCACAGACAAGGTTGGCTACATCTTGAAGCGAGCTTCCATTAAAACATACTACAAGCCGCCGAAAAAGATTAGTCAATTTTTACCATCCGTCAAGTGTAATATCCCTCTACAAGATGCAGGAGTGTACAAGTTAGATTGTGAATGTGGTCTCTCTTACATAGGTCAAACAAAAAGATCCATAAAAACCCGCGTGAAAGAACATATAGCTGACGTGAAGCACCGACGCTCCGGGAAGTCTGCAGTCTGTGAACATGTTCAAGATCGTCCCCACCATTACATCAGATTTGATAAACCACAAATCCTCGCAAAAGAACACCGATTTCTACCAAGGATGATACGCGAGGCTATTGAAATTAAAAAACATCCTAATTTCAATAGAGAAGATGGTTGGGTGCTGCCATCTGCTTGGGATCCTATAATTAACGAAATTAAACCCAAGCCCAAGCATACCGCTGCAAGACTTCAAGATACTGTAAGGTCGTTTTGCGTAAATCGGACCAAAAATTAATATTCAAAAACTGAAGGTAGCCGGGCTAACAATGACATTGGGACGTCAAACATCTCAGGCCCCACCCCCCCCCCGTGACCATGGGAGCTGTAAAGCACCCGAAACGTCGGGAATTAAAAATAAATAAAATCAGTTAAATAAACGCGCTAGAATCCGTAAATTTAGTTTTATTCAATGTGTAGTGTTCGCGTAAATTTAAGAAATTATTAAAGTATTTATTTTTTTCAAATAACTTCGAAATGTCTGCTCGGATCATATTCATGTAATAAATTAACTATGAGTGTCAACTAAAGCCATAAAACTGCGTTGAACGCCGTCAAGTTCGCCTAAATCGGCTGAATTGTTCGTGAAATATTAAATTTTAAAAAACCTTGACATATTGGGTGGAATTTGAACGCTTTGAATTTGAAATTAGCGGGAATTTCTATGGATGGCGTTCAATCGTATTTTTTGAAATATTTAGCCTAGCCTTGTCGGCTTTTGTGGTACGTAGTAGGACGATGCTGCATCCATATTATGGTTGTAGTATGAATGGGTCGGCTCGACCGGGGAAGGACCACGCTCTCACAGAATACCAGCGTAAAATAGCAGCTTAATGCGACTGTATTTCGTATGGTGTGTGCGTGCGTGCGTGTGCGTGTGCGTGTGCGTGAGCGCGCGCGTGCGTACGTTGCGTGCGTGCGTGCGTGCGTGCGTGCGTGAGTGCGTTCGTGCGTGCGTGCGTGCGTGCGTGCGTGGGTCGTGCGTGCGTGCGTGCGTGCGTCGCGTGCGTGCGTGCGTGCGTGCGTGCGTGCGTGCGTGCGCGTGCGTGCGTGCGTGCGTGCGTGCGTGCGTGCGTGCGTGCGTGCGGCGTGCGTCGCGTGCGTGCGTGCGTGCGCGTGCGCGTGCGCGTGCGCGTGCGCGTGCGTGCGTGCGCGCGTGCGTGCGTGCGTGCGTGCGTGCGTGCGTGCGTGCGTGCGTGCGTGCGTGCGTGCGTGCGTGCGTGCGTGCGTGCGTGCGTGCGTGCGTGCGTGCGTGCGTGCGTGCGTGCGTGCGTGCGTGCGTGCGTGCGTGCGTGCGTGCGTGCGTGCGTGCGTGCGTGCGTGCGTGCGTGCGTGCGGGCGGGCGGGCGGGCGGGCGGGCTCGTGCGTGCGTGCGTGCGTGCGTGCGTGCGTGCGTGCGTGCGTGCGTGCGTGCGTGCGTGCGTGCGTGCGTGCGTGCGTGCGTGCGTGCGTGCGTGCGTGCGTGCGTGCGTGCGTGCGTGCGTGCGTGCGTGCGTGCGTGCGTGCGTGCGTGCGTGCGTGCGTGCGTGCGTGCGTGCGTGCGTGCGTGCGTGCGTGCGTGCGTGCGTGCGTGCGTGCGTGCGTGCGTGCGTGCGTGCGTGCGTGTGTGTGTGTGTGTGTGTGTGAGAATCTTTGTAATGGAAACGAGGCATTTCATCTTAGTCCTCAGGGGTGACAAAGCATCGGAATTCCGATTCTCAATCGAGGATAAGAGTAAATGTAGATGTCTATGGGTCGCACGATCCACTTACCATCAGGTGGTGTGCTCGTTTGTCATCCTTATTGTATAAAAAAAGCTATAAATATTGCTAATATTTCCTTCAACGGCTCCTATTATGCTTAAAATGTTATTCGGGTATTGTATTTTTATACCGCGCTAATACGGGAAGCACATAAATATTTGTAGGAAACACTAGTGAATGAAGCGAATGCTTTTATTAAGTTTTTCAATACGTGTTATTATAAAAAAGACCAATTAAATGTCCGCCCATTAGTATAATTCCAAAATATCTAGATTACTACTTAAAAAAATTAATCTATCTGTATAAAAGCAGCTCAATCGGGTAAAAACCTCCGAGTTATATAAAAATGCCTTGCTGCGAGTTATGCTGATAAGTGCCCGAATGTGAATTATCTATTCCCTCACTCTCATAGTCTGCTGGGACGGTGAAGAAATCAAGTGCAGGACTACCGGCTGCCCGGGGGTGGAACACAGCCAACTTTTTGACTCTGAATCCGTGCTGCTGCTGGGAATTTCTTAACAAAAAACTCAATCACTATTGTTTTTCCTCCAACCCGGGATTTAAACCTCATGATTAGCAGTCAAAACTTACATTAAAGAAAATAATATACAACGTAACTGATGATTTTCTAGTTATTTGAAGTTTGTTAAAAAGTTCACCTTGCAGTGTGATGATGTCTGTGTCTTCTTTTCGGTGGTCGAGTGCAGACGTAGCAGCAAACCCGCCAGTATAAGAATCTGCAAAGTAACATTAAATTTAAATGAACTGAATCCGCGATTTTATAAAGTTCCTCGCTGTGCCTCGCACGTATCATCATCAGCATCTGGGCCGCGCGATATGACGACACCTACTACTACTATGCATTTCAGATATGTAGCAGATATGGGCATATGTACGTTATAGAGCCAAGTTACATTTTATCCACTCTCCCTCACACTACACCCTATTCAAGTATCGTGTTTTTTAAACTGAGAAAAGCCGCGATTTGAGATAATGTTTGCTCTATAATGTACATATAAAGTTACATCCTATATACGTTTCCCACTGTTGGGCGCAGGCACAGGTCCGCCGTGCTACCAAAATGCGTGTTGGCGGGAAATATCTTCGATTTTTTTTAAACATAACTCCATATTTAAGGCTAGCTGAGAGATGTAGCTTAATTCTAAATAGCTTATACTGTTCGTCATGAATATGGCTAACATATACAAAAGAATTCTTAAAATTGAACGGGTAGTTCCAGAGATTAGCTTTATTTTTAAGCTATTGCATAGCTTCTATCGCGGGCCTTGAGCGCGGGGATCGAATCCAGAAATTTATTCCGCCGTAACGAAAAAACCTCACGCTCCCCACTCCGACGGGCACGGAGGTGTGGCTTGAAGGCCGTGCATTGTCTAACGTCGTATAGTATAAAGCGATAACGCAGCGCCTAATAATTTAGTACGAGTGGCACGATGCCAGGTGAGACAACGTGCTTTTTGGACGCGCCCACCAATGAGTTCGAGTCCGCTTCTTGTGCCACCTACGCAACTCCTTTGTATAGTGCGACGTTGCCACTCTTATTAGTTATTCCGCTTTGTAATATTTTATTTATAGGTGATATTTTGTTTATGTAGGTATTCGATAGATTCCTATAGTCTGTTTTTTTCGCAGGAGACAAAAATAACAGATATTTATTAGATTCCTTTAGCACGAATAATACAGTTTTTATGATTCTGGTTCAGATTAGATTTAATTTTAGTCACTTAAATTTCGTATATTGTTCAAAATAATGAAATAAATCTACAGAATCTGCAGTTACGAAAAAAAGCAATATCATTTTAGTCTCCGGCGAAAAAAAAGATATATATCATGATTAATTTACCAACTAGTTATTCGTTTACTAAATACGAAAAAATATTTAGACGTCATTTTTCTTCCAATCTTGCTGTACTGAATATTTACGTAGTCCTTATATTAATAATTATAATTGCATAAGTTGATACAAAATGCTATGCAATAGCTTTACCGCGGCAGTCCCCGAGTGCCACACGTCTTTTTATCTTAGAGCCATGCTGCAGTTATATTAGTAGTATAGTTGTAGCACGAATGGGTCGGCTTGACCGGGGAAGGACCACGCTCTCACAGAATACCAGCGTAAAATAGCAGCTTAATGCTTCTGTGTTTCGTATGGTGAGTGTAGAGAACCGGAGACCCTTTTTACTGAAACAAGGCATTCCATCTTAGTCCTCACGGGTGACAACGCATCTGCATTTCGATTCGTAATCGAGGATAGATGTAGATGTCTATGGGCCTCAGCAACCACTTACCATCAGGTGGACTGTGTACTCGTTTGTCACCCTTTCCTACAAAAAATTTAAACAAACAAACCCATCCACTTCATTATATTAGTATATATCTGCATGCTATGCTGATTGCTATTATTTTTTAACAGGCGTTCTAGTTTTAATTTATTCACGTAACAATTTCCTTTTGTCATGTTTATTCAATTACTTTTCCTAAAAGCAGTTAAAGCAAATTATATTTCCTTAAAAAAATTAAAAATTAAACGCAAATATCATTTAAACACATTCTAGGTAATTAAATAAACAGACGTAATTTTTCACAGTTTTACAACTGTTACCTATGTTAGTAATTCTAGTTATTATAAAAAGAAATGTAAATTTTTCTCGTGTTAAATTAATTCATGCACGCTTATACAAACATCCTTTTATTTCTCTTTTTTTTTTTTGTTAAATAGAACTTAATAAAAATATTCAGTATACCTGAAGGAAGAAGCCATGACGTCGCCAATGTTAGACAGGCAGAGAAGCATGAGCGGAATGCCGAGGATGGCATAAAAGATTGTCACAACCTTTCCGGTCTGCGTCTTAGGTGCAATGTGCCCATAACCTGCGAAGAAGAAAATAAACTTACAACAAGCTCTAAGAAAATAAATCACCGCATTTCATTCCATGGATGCCGGAAGTAACGAATTCTTACTCGTAATTCTCGAGAGATCTTGCTTCGTTTGACGGGGATCAACCTTCAATATCTCGCATATAATAAAATATACGAGGTTGCCCTTAAATGAATGAATGAAGTACTTTATTGTATATCGATAAATAAGAGAAAAAAAATGATAATATAAAGGTACAATTAGGAATAGTCATCGCCTAGTAGCGATCTCTAGCAGGCAACCAATTACACATAAGATATAATAATGTGAGAAAGGGTAACGGTATACGAAAGTTGTAAGAAAATACACACGGTATACATATAATTATATACTCAATAAATACATACATAATATACACTTTTCCGTTACAAAAATATATAAATAGAAACACAAGAGTATAAAGGAGTACTTGGACAAGTAAGTGATAAAAATGCCTTGACGCAATGAAAAATATAATAGATATATAATAGATTTCTGTGGTAGGTACCTAGCAACTTTTAAATAATAAGCGATGAGCAGGAATGACTATTTAAGGAGGATAAAAAAAAAGAAGTTCTTAAAGTTTTTAAAGTTTTCAATAAATTGTGCACGTCTAATGTGCAGCGGTAAGGTGTTGCAGAGCCGAAGAAATTCAACAGAAAAGGTTTAAATAGAGGGAAGTATTATGGGATAAAGTAATAAGCAACCAAAATTCATATATAACGTACGTGAGGATAGTATGGTCATCTTAGGCTTTGCCACCCCATAAAACCAAAACCAGGATGAGTACAGACACAAAAACACAGTCCTATACTATAACTTCTATATTGAAAATAAAAATAGCAAACAAGCTTTGGAAATAATTAGGAACACTTCGAAAAATCAACTTGAAAAAACTAACTACACTACACAATACTAAAATCGACTATAATATTTACTGTATTTTTTTATATATATAGAACGACGCGCAGACCCTTAATTCACAAAATCGCATATCTTTTACAAATCAAAATCTACTTCAAACCATTATTCAAGCGACAAAACAGGGGCGACAATCCGTCGACGGCCAAGTTCCCGCCAAAACTCCATAAACATAAAAACATAAGCACTCACGCCTGTCACCCAGAGGGGTAGGCAGAGACTACAGACTTCCATTTGGCACGATCCTACACACCTCTCTCGCCTCCTTCACATCCATATACCTACGCATACATGCTCGTCGGTTAAGGGCACTCCTAATTTGGCCCGTTTTCAATAAATCGCCAATTTGGTCGATAAATTTTCGCCTAGGACGTCGCTTTCCGACTCTGCCATTCACTTCTGCAACATAAATTTTCTTTGTCACTCTTTCCTCATTCATTCTTTCCACATGACCAAACCACCGAAGCATTCCTTTCTTAATCCTGGTCACAACATCATCTTGCAAACCACACTCTTCTCTTATTACACAATTTCTCACCCTGTCGTCCAGATTCAGCCCTAACATACTCCTTAAGGACCGCATTTCTACTGCGTTGATTCTACTCTCGTGCTTCTTCTGCCACACCCAACTTTCACTACCATACGTTAAAGTATGAACCAACACAGCATTGTGAATTGCCATACGTGTCTTTTTTGACATATTTTGACTCAAAAAACTCAAAACTCCATATTTACTATAATGTCAACTGTCAAAATGACGTCGATAAAGCAGAGCCCTTTTAACTCTTAGAGAACATACATTGCTAGTAACTACTCTGAGTTTTAACTCTATATTATTTGATTGACTGATGAAGAGCTATCGTATCACAGAGCTATCTATGCAAATAAGGCTTTAGTTTGGGAGTTAGAAGAAAGTGCCCATATTAACCATGTTACCCTCTCGTAGTATTCATTGATTTATTCATTTAAATTCAAAAGTCCACTTGTGAACATAGGAAATATTTTCAATTGATGCCACGCTTGCCAGTTTTTTATTATTTGGGGCTGTTATCAGGAAGGTGCTACTGCCATCTCCTGTTGTTCATACAGCAGGAGATGGCAGCGGGTTTCATTTTTCATATTATAAAGGTGACAAGCAAGCACACAGTCCACCTGATGGTAAGTGTATGCTGTGGTCCATGGACATCTGCATCTACCCTTAATTAAAAATCAAAATGCACATGCTTTTTACCCCTGAGGACTAAGATGATATGCCTCGTACCTATCCATTAAAAAGGGTCTCTGGTTCTCTACACCCATTATACGAAACACAGTAGCATTAAGCTGCTATTTTACGCTTGTATTCTGTAAGAACCCCTCAGAACAAAGATGGTATGCCTCGTATCCATTATAACGGGTCTCTGGTCCTCTACACTCACTATACAAAACACAGCAGCATTAAGTTGCTATTTTACGCTTGTATTCTATAACAACATGGTCCCTCCGCGTTCGAGCCAACCCATTCGTGTTACAACCATAATATAACAGCAAAATTGCTCTTTCACATATAAGTAAATTTATTCACACATACGTAAGTTATAATTAATTTTACTCTGCCCTTGTAATGTTGTTACGTCACGTAGACAGGCAGTGGTAATATGGGTCACATTATTGGCTCGCTTCAGCGCATCAAAGAGTGGTCGGTTTACTTTCGTTTTCTGCTATTTATTTTGCTTGTGACGTGAATCATAATAAAATCACAATATATTCATTATTTTACTAACTATACGCAAGCATCGGTGGTTCAGTGGTAGAATGCTCGCCTGCCACGCGGGCGGCCCGGGTTCGATTCCCGGCCGATGCAATGGTTTTTTAATATTTTAATTTTTGTTTTGTTAAGAAAGATATGAATTCATTATATTTATTTATTTATTTAAAATAATTTCTATAACTAAAAATATTTCGACTAACTATCATAAGTTGTGATTGTAAAAAAAAAAAACAAATTAAAGGATTTTTTTACTCATTTTAGGAAGATATTATGAATTTTAATAAATGTTTACAAAAATAAACATTAATGTAGTCAATCACTTTCATCTTTAACCACTTTGCCATAGGGTCGTAAACAAATAACAGCCAGCAAAATATGCACGACAATGTTACGATACTCCCAACTGCAATTATTCACACCTCACACCTTGTTGTCGAAATTTTGTTTGCAACAATTTCGTACCTATTTAACAAAGTTTTTAATGTTTTGAAACGTGTCATTAATTTATTTACCCGCGACGGAACGGAGAATTGTTTGTGTGTTTGTGAGTTCCCATTACTCTCCCAAACGGTTACACCGATTTAGATACAGTTTTCTGTAAAGGGTACGTGACTCATCGGCGATGGTTCTTAGGTGCTATGATGTAACTCGCCAGGGGGCGCTGCAAGCAAACATTTTGTGCAAACGAATGTTCCTATTTAGATACAGTTTTCTGTAAAGGGTACGTGACTCATCGGCGATGGTTCTTAGGTGATATGATGTAGCTCGCCAGGGGGCGCTGCAAGCAAACATTTTGTGCAAACGAATGTTCCTATTTAGATATCTTCAAAACGGTTTTAACGATTTAGATACGAGTAACGTAGAAATTCTCTGAAAAATTTGAAATAAAAAGCGTAATAAAAAATAAATTTAAAATCCACGATGGGCGCAAAGGTGGTAATCGAAAAAGGATTAAAAAAAACCCGACTGACAGGAAGTAAGTTACAAAAGATCAAAATAAAAAGTGTTTTAAAAAGGATTGATTTGTCGGGAGGTCTGTCAAAATATACAACTAATTATGGCTTTCCTTAATACTTCCTACATTCACCGCAGCGATAAAAACAAATCATAATACCAAATATTTATAGGTAATAATAAATAAAAATAAATAAATATTTTATTTTTATTTATTTATAGGTAATAAACATAAAGAAAGAAATTGGGAACAAAGATGGGAATGGCAGTCCCGACGGATTTTCTTGGGTTACTAACCCGTTATATTACCTAATACCTATTAGGCTATTAGGTAGGTGCATATGTATTGCTCCTATATTTGATATTATTGCTGTGTCTATCGCTGCCACAACTAAATAAGTTCACAAAGGTGGGAAGGACTTAGCAAAGTCATAATTAGTAGTGAATTATTTGCCCACATCACATAGTACGACGGATTAGTGTAAGTAGACGGATTGGGATGGGCAGTGTTCGGGAGATTACGAAACATCTTCTCGTGAGGCGTACCTCAAAACCTCAAAACTAGCTTGTACAACCATTGTATGCTGCCAATGATGACCTATGGGTCTGAGTCGTAGTCCTTCACTGCTGGCCGTATGAGGAAGGCTTCAGATAGAAGACCATCGCGTCTCTACCACATATAAAATTTACCATAGCTGCAATGCTTGCCAGGCGTAAATTTATTTTAGTTCATTTATAATTTACAACTAAATTTAGTTTAGTTGTAAATTATAAATGAAAAGTCATAAAATCCTAGCGTCGAATTTAGGGAATATGTAAAAAAAAATTCCAAAATATTTAAAAGAGTGTACTCCTTAGCCAAGTCATTGTATTTGAGCAAGAAAATAAAGACTGCTTCTAATAAAATTAAAATGACATGCAGTATAATTAATAGTGAAACTGGTAAGTTCAACTCTCGCAATTCAAACTACCAATTAAGTTTTAACAATAAATTAACTATATCAGATCAAGACGTTGCGATGGTTTTCGAGAAATATTTTACTGATATTCCGATCTTAACCACTAAGTCACTGAATTCTGCTCCTGCCGTCGCCGAATCATTACTTAAACAAAATGTAAATGTGTGTGCAAAGAATTTTACATTTCATAAAGTGTCATCAAAAGATATCGTAAAATATTTTAAGACTATTGATATTAAGAGAACCGCCGATCTGTGGGGGATTTCTTTTAAAGTTATTGCGTATATAATAGTGTATCTATTATAGACATATCGCACCTTAACTATCTATTATTTTTAAGGCCGGTTTTAGAGCTCAACCGACCATCAGTGGGTACCATCGGTCCTGACGA